GCAGTTCCTACTATCTCTGTGTTTAATTATTCTGTGTTTGTGTGAAGCTAATAACTAAAGACCACATGATTGTAAACTGTTTTCAGTCAGTTTTGTTTTGCAGGAGGTACCAGTTGAGGTTCCCTTGTGATGTCGAGCAGCCTCTGTGAGGTCGGGCAGTGGAAATGTGCTATTTTACAGCTTTCATCAGCTGCCTCTGTGTTTCCCCCTGATACCCTGGTTATCAATGTACATCACTCTGCCTTCTCCTGGAACCTGCAGTCGGGTCCCACGTGGATCAAGCCTTGGTTTCTCTAACGTTCGCTGAGAGCCCACCGTGTCGGGCAAGTGAATTTTCACCTCTCTGCGCTCAGTGCTGCCAACTCCAGAAAGGGTTTGGCCAAGGGACAGCTTCTGCAGTGGCCTAGGGATTTTAGACAAGAACAACCTGTGTTTTTTAATTGTGTAGGAACATTCCAATCAGACTGTGCCTGTCAGAAGTTGTATATGAGGGAGCACTAACAAACTAATTAATGTGTGTTAGAATGGTTTACAATGTGTACTGAACATCTACTTGAATTCGTGTGTGTGTGTGTGTGTGTGTGTGTGTGTGTGAGAGAGAGAGAATGTGTGAGAGTGTGTGTGTGTGTGTGTGTTTGTGTGTGTGCACAAGGGGGACTGAGTCTATGTGCATGCGTGTGTGTTTGTGTGAGAGGGGTGAGTGTGTGTGTGTGTGTCTGTCAGTCTGTGTGTATGTGAGAGTGTGTGAGTGTGTGTGAGAGTGTGTGAGGGTGTGAGAGAGAGAGTATTTGTGTGGTGAGCATGCGTGTGTGTGTATGTGTGTGTATATGTGTGCGAGACAGAAAGAGTGTGTGTATATGTGTGTGTGTGTGTGTGTGTGTGCGTATGACTGTGTGTGTGTGTGTGTGTGTGTGTGTGTGTGTGTGTGTGTGTGTGTTTGTGAGAGAGAGAGAGAGAGAGTGTGTGTGTCCAGTAGCGTGGGGAGTTTTGGGCAAACATTTGAAAATTTTCAGACTGAGATCAAAAGTCTATATTTGGGTAAGTGGGTCAAGTGTAAGTGGATCATGGGGTAAGTGGATCAGGCAAGTTCACATCTGCCATAGTGGCTTTCAAATCCATTAGCCTGGGATCCTGGATTTCTGGTGCAATGACCACCATACCCCAGCCTCTCTGAAACGTGGAGAGATGTCTTCACCCAGAGACTGGTGAGCTCACTGCCACTGAAAGGGAATAGTTTCTAAAAGGATTTAGATATAGCATTTGGGGCTATAGGGGACAAAAGCTATGGGGGAAGTGTAGGAACAGGCCATTGAGTTGGATGATCAGCCATGATCATAATGAATGGCCTACTCCTGCTCCTATTTTCAATGTTTCCCCTTCATTCACAATGTGCTGCTGGAGGTGGAATTCTGTCCAGCTAGGGACAATGGAATTGAACGCTAGTTTGATTTAGTTAGTTTGAAGAAGGGGGCCATGATGAAGGTTTGAGCAGATAAGGTTCTGCTCCACCAGCTTACTTCACTGGAGCAGGATTGTAGACCAAAAACAGAGACAGCTGAGGAGGGGTTCAGGACAGAATCTGAAAGAGAAGCCACAGCAAGTGGGTCATGGGTGGGAGGGGTTCAGTCTGTGTTTGGTCTCTCTGGTGTAGAGGAGGACACATTATGAGCAAGTACAGTCAGTCAGACTGAGAGTAATGCAAGTAAACTGCTGCCTCAGCTGGAAGGTGCGTACAGGGACATGGTCAGTGGAGGAGAGGAGGAACTAGAGGTCAAAGCCTAGGTTTGACATCTTACCTGGAGAGGCAATGTAGGGTGGGGTGTGGACCTGGGTGTTGCAGAGGTCCCTGGGGAATGCTGACGTGGTGGGTGGGGGTCAGGAGATGTGCATTTGGTGGGACAGGCTCCTGGGGGTGGGTGGGGTGGAGAGGTTGGGTGAGTTGGAAGGCGAGCAGCTGGTGAACTCGCCCATCATGGTCCTGGGCAAATGGAATGGACAACATTGGGGGAAATACTTAGTTGAGGTCCTGTCCCCAGCTTTGATGGACTGCATGGCTTCCCTCTCCATTCAGTACTCTTTATGTGCAGGGTCTAATGACGATTGTAGTTATTGACCAAACACAGTGTTCAATCTCCATCAATAAACCTGGCTTACCCCCAGGCTGGGAGGACATTGACTTGATTTGATTTATTATGCCTAAGTATAGTGAAAAGTTTTGTTTTGTGTGCAATATGGGTAGATCATAGCATGCAAAGATCACAGGGCGATTGAACAGAGCGAGGAATACAAGGCGACTGCTGCAAAGGAGGCACCCAAAAAGCAGGATCAACATTAGATTTGAAATTAGAGACGTCCATTCAGAAGCCTGATAACAGCGGGGAAGAAGCTGCTCTTCAATCCCGTTAGTACGCGTGTTTAAGCTTTTGTATTTTCCTGCCCGATGGAAGAGGTTGGAAGAGACTATAACCGGGGTGGAAGGGGTCTTTGATGTTGGCTGCCTTTCCGAGGAAGTGAGAAGTGTAGATGAAAGGCAGTGGATGAAAGATTAGCTTGTGTGATGGACTGGGCTGTGTTCACAACTCTCTGTAGTTTCTTACACTCCTGGGCAGTGAAATTGCCCTACCAAGCTGTGATACATAGCCCCAAGTAGCTTGTTCCTCAGCATGGCACACTTGACATCTCCGAAGTTACTCAGAGCTTGTCCCAAAACATTGTTTTCAGAAAGTAAATGCCTAATTTGTACTGGAATAGACCAGCGCTGACCGCTCTAACTGCATCCCCACTGTGAACCTGTTCCATGAATTAGCCAGTGGCTCTCTGGATTATTTTCAATGTCCCTGTCCCACTCGCTCTCCTGTTCCAATTCCTGAGAATGTGCCGCAGTTCTCAGTCCCAGGCACAGTCTGGGTGGCCCTCAGTGAGGAAGGTCAGACTGTAGCAGCACAGCTTGTGATAACTTTGACTGGTTCACTCTGTCAGACAAGTAGCTGTGTTTCAGAAACAACAAAAAGAACAGGACAATTTTGTTCTGGAGGAGGGTCACCGATTCAAAACATTAACTCTGCTTTTCTCTCACCACAATTTCTCCGGCAATTTCTGCTGTTGCTTCTGATTTCCAGCGTCTGCAGTTCTGTGGGTTTGTTTTTGTCAGCTGTATTTCAGCCTGGGTGGACAGCTAGCAGAGAGTGGGGAAAAGAGAGAAGAGAGTGAAAGAGGATACAAACAATAGGCTCTTTGCTTTCAGATGATCTGGGAGTGGGCAGAGGGATGGGGAGGGGTTAGTAACGGTGAATGGGAAGTGGCCTGAGTTGACACAAAGACATTCAGTGTGTTGTCACTGGGGTTGACTGAGGCTGGGCTATAATCTGCGCAATCGCAGTGCAGTCAGCAGGGCAGTGATTACACAGTACAGCACTCTAGGGATATCATCACTTCATCGCCAGCGTGGAAACCCCTTTCCTCCAGAGAATGCCTGCTTCACAGAAATCCGCCTGCTCTCCGGCAGTTTGGTATTACATTTCACAATCTCTCCTCCTGACTGAGCCATTTGGAATTGACCCGTTTCCTGACTGCTTTCTGTTCTGATCACTTCTTGCCTGCAGAGGGGTTGGGATTCTTATTCAAAACCTCTTTTGCTGTTTGTTTATGTTTTCATCCTTGGAAGGACAGCTTTTTAATTCACAGGGATTCCTGTTTCTCCTTGAGAGACACTTGGATTGAAGAACCAGGGGGATGTAGACAGAGCAGGAGACTGCAGCCTGTAAGTGACAGGGTCAGTAACACTGGGAGGAGGGGGGAGAGTCTGTCTCAATCTGCCTGTGTCAGTGTGACAGGGTCTGTCTGTGTCTGTGACGCAGGGTCTGTCTGTGTCTGTGTGACAGAGTCTGTCTAGGTCAGTGTTACAGGATCTGTCTGGATCTGTGTGATGGTCTGTCTTTGTCAGTGTGACAGGGTCTGTCTGTGGCTGTGGGACAGTGTCTCTCTGTGTCTGTGGTGCAGGGTCTATCTGTGTCAGTATGACAGAGTCTGTCTAGGTCACTGTTACAGGGTCTGTCTGGATCTGTGTTATGATCTGCCTGTGTCTGTAAGACAGGGTCTGTCTGGGTCAGTGTTACAGGGTCTGCCTGTGGAACAGTGTCTGTCTGTGTCAGAGTGACAGGGTCTGTCTGGGTCTATGACACAGGGTTTGTCTATGTCTCTGAGACAGGGTCTGTCTGGGTCAGTGTGACAGGGTCTGTCTCTGAGGCAGGGTCTGTCTGGGTCAGTGTGACAGGGTCTGTCTCTGAGGCAGGGTCTGTCTATATCTCTGAGACAGGGCCTCTCTGGGTCAATGTGACAAGGTTTGTCTCTGTCAGTGTGACAGGATCTGCCTGGGTCAGTGTGACAGAGTCTGCCTGTGGGGCAGGGTTTGCCTGGGTCAGTGTGACAGTGTCTGCCTGTGGGGCAGGGTCTGTCTGTGGGTCAGGGTCTGAAGTGGAAGTGGTCCAGGATTGAGACAGGCTGCAGTGACTGTATCCCAAGCAGCTTCTTATCGAGATGAAAGTCAGGAATCTTTTTGCTTGCTTTTTCCAAATGTTGCTCAATGCTTGGTTTGTCATGGGTGGGGTCTGTTGCTATTTTCATAACTGAGCCTGTTTAATTATCACAAAGTGAACATTTTCTCTTTGCTGTGCTGTGCCAAGCTTCCAGAGTTTGGGACAGAAGGAGAGAATGTGAGATTCCAATTCTGTCCCTGAGAATGTGGGCCCACAATGTTCAATCCAAAGTCATTTCAACAAATTGACATTCTGTGCAATCATCAGTAAACTTTAACACCAAAGGCTTCGTACAGCTCTGCTTCAGAAAACTGCTACAGTCATCCCATTCCACTCCACTGGAGTTACTCCAGGAGCTAATATTTCCAATCCAATCCACTGCAGTTATTCTGGAATCTGGTGTTCCTAATTTCAATCCACTGGATTTACTCTGGGATTTGGTGTTCACAATTCCAGAGTAATAGAGTCATAGAGTCATACAGCACGGAAACAGACCCTTTGGTCCAACCAGTCCATGTGAACATTACCCCAAACTAAACTAGTCCCTCCTGCCTGCTCCTGGCCCATATCCCTCCAAACCTTTCTTATTTATATATCCGTCCAAATGTCTTTTAAACGTTGTAATTTTACCCACATCCACCACTTCCTCAGGAAGTTCATTCCACATGCGAAACACCCTCTGTGTAAAACAATTTGCCTCTTATGTCTTTTTTAAATCTCTCTCCTCTCACCTTAAAAATGTGCCCCCTAGTCTTGAAACTTTCAATCTTAGGGAAAAGAGAACCACCATTAACTCTATCTATATCTCTCATTATTTTATAAACTTCTATCAGGTCACCCTACGCACCAAAGAAAAAAGTCCCAGCCTATCCAGCCTTTCTTTATAACTCAAACCTTCCATATCCAAAAACATCCGGGTAAATCTTTTCTGAACCCTCTACAGCTTGATAATATCCTTCCTATGACTGGGCAACCAGAACAGGACCCAGTATTCCAGAAGATGCCTCACCAATGTCCTATACAACCTCAACATAACGTCCCAACTCCAATGCTTAAAGGACTGAGCAATGAAGACAAGCGTGCCAAACGCCTTTTTAACCAGTTTGTCTATATGTGACACAAACTTTAAAGAATTATGTACCTGCACCTCTAGGTCCCTTTGTTCCACAACACAGATCCAAGGCCCTACCATTAATTGTATAAGCCCTACCCCTGTTTGTTGTAACAAAATGCAATACTTCACATTTATCCAGATTAAACTCCATCTGCCATTTTTCAGGCCATTGTCCCATTTGATCAAGATTCCACTGTAATCTTAGAAAACCTTCTTCATTGTCTACAATGTCACCAATTTTGGTGTCATCCACAAACTTACTGAACAAGCCTTCTATATTCTCATCCAAATCATTTATATCAATGACAAACAAAATAGGACCCTGAACCAGTCCTTGTGGAACATCACTGGTCACAGTCCTCCAGTCTGAAAAGCAATTCTCCACCATCACTCTCTGTCTCTTGCTGTTAAGCCAATTATATATCCAATTGGCAAGCTCACCCCGAATTCCATGCGATGTAATTTTACTAATTAGTCTACCATGCAGAATCTTGTCAAAGGTTTTACTCAACCACTGAAGTTACTCTGGAAGGGGAGGACCCCTTTGAAATATCTGGGAATTACTCCACTGACTGTATGAGGGAGGGAAGTAGTGATAAGGAATGCAGGTGAGATGTGTAAAGAGGAATCAGTAGATGTTTGAATTTCCAAAAGTCATTCCAGAAGGAGCCACCTAAAGGGTTACTGCACTGGATAAGGGCTCCTGATATTGGGGAGGTCTGGGAATGGAATGGGGAGAAGGAGAGTCCTTCATGATAACCTCAGCCAGTGAGGGAGTTGAACACATGTTGTTGGTGTCATTCTGCACTGCAACCCACTCATCCAGCCAACATAGGTAATTGACTCCTTTACTATGACAGCTGTGAGGAAGGATTGGCTAATGTCCAAGAAGTAGAGAGTGGGGCCAAGTTGGTCAGTTTCAAGCTTGTAAAGAGTGGAGAACCCCCTATGGGTAACAGTACTGGGGATTCCATCCAACAAGGGTAGGGCTTTTATGATTAATGGTAGGGCCTTGGGTAGTGTTGAAGTACAGAAGGACCTAAGGGTTCAGGTACATAATTCTTTGAGGTTTGCATCACATATAGACAGGATAGCGAAGAAGGCGTTAGGTATGCTTCCCTTTATTCTTCAGTGCATTGAGTATCAGAGTTGAGATGTCATGTTGATGTTGTACAGGACATTGGTGACGTCTCTTTTGAAATATTATGTGCAGTTACAGTCGCCCAGTTCTGGAAAGGATATTATCAAGCTGGAGAGGGTGTTAAAGAGATTTACCAGGATGTTGCAAGGTATGGAAGGTTTGAGTTATAAAGAAAGGCTGGATAGGCTGGGACATTATTCACTGGAGCATAGGAGGTTGAGAGGGGAAATTACAGAATTTAATAAAATAATGACGAGTATAGATAAAGTTAATGGTAGTTGTCTTTTCCCTAGGATGAGGGATTTCAAGACTAGGGGGCACATTTTTAAAGTGAGAGGAGAGAGATTTAAAAAAGACTTGAGGGGCAGGTTCACATGTGGAATGAACTTCATGAAGAAGTGGTGGACATGGGCACAATGACAACATTTAAAAGACATTTAGATAAGAACATAAATAGGAAAGGTTTGGAGAGATAAGGGCCAGAAGAGGGCAGGAGGGACTGGTTTAGTTTGGGATTATGTTCAGCACGGGCTGGTTGGACCAAAGGGTCTGTTTCCATGCTGTATGACTGTATGACTCAACGATGGGGCTCCAGGTATTGTAGCTGATGATACAAGAACGGGGTTGTAAAGTAAGGTGTGAGGAGGACTCAAAGAGGCAAATTTGACACCATAAGCCCACAAAATAAAGGAGCAGAATTAGGTGATTCGCCCTATCGAGTCTGCTCTGCCATTCGATCATGGCTGATATGTTTCTCTGCTCCATTCTCCTGCTTTCTCCCCGGAATCCTTGATCCCCTTACTAATCAAGAACCTCTGTTTTAAATACACTCAATGACTTGTCCTCCACAGCCTTCTGCAGCAAGGAGTTCTAAGGAGTCAACACTCCCTGGCCGAAGAAATTCTTCCTCATCTCAGTTCCAAAGGGTCATTCCCTCACTCTGAGGCTGTGCCTTCGAGTACGAGTCTCTCCTAAAAGCAGAAACATCTTCTCCACGTCCACTGCATCCAGGCCTCTTAGAATTTTGTAAGTTTCAATCAGATCCCTCCTCATCCATCTAAACTCCATCGAGAATGGGCCCAGAGTCATCAACCACTCCTCATATGACATTCCCTTCATCCCCCGTATCATTCTCATAAACCTCTTCTGGATTGGCTCCAAGGCCAGCACATCCTTCCTTAGGTATGGGACCCAAAACTGCTCACAATATTCCAAATGCAGTCTGACCAGAGCCTTATATAGCCTCAGCAGTACATCCCTGCTCTTGCATTCTAGTCCTCTTGAAATGAACGTTAAAATTGCATTTACCTTCCTAACTACCAACTGAACTTTATGTTAACGTTAACAGAATCCTAAACAATGACTCTGAAATGCTTTAATAAAAACCGAAAGGACTGCAGTTGCTGCAAATTAGGAACCAAAACAGAAGTTGCTGGTAAAGCTCAGTAGGTCTGGCAGCATCTGTGAAGAAAGAAAATCAGGGTTAATGTTTCGGGTCCAGTGACCCTTCCTCAGAACTGATAGTAGCTAGGAAAATGTCTGTATATGTGCAGAAGATAGGGTGGGGGGGAAGGGATAAGAAGTAAACGATAGCTGGGGATAGAACCCAAAGAGAGAGAAGAGCAGTTGGTGTTTCAACAAGGCCTGGTGTGTGGGTGAGGTGGCTAGGACGTGGGAGAGTTCAGGCCCTAAAATTATTAAACTTGATATTGAGTCTGGAGGGCTACAGGATCACCAAACGGAAAATGATGTGCTGTTTTTCCAGCTTGTGCTGAACTTTGCTGGTACACTGCAGCAAGCCTGAGACAGAGGTATCGGCCAAGGAACAGGGTGGTGCGTTAAAGTGGCAGGCAACTGGAAGCTGAGGGTTTTTTCTGCAGGCAGAATGTGGATGTTCTGTGAAGCTGTCACCCAGTCTATGCTTTGTTTCCCCAATGTAGAGGAGACCACATTGTGAGCAGTGAATGCAGTAGGCTAGATTCTGGGAAGTGCAGTTGAAGTGCTGCTTCACCTGGAAGGTATGTTTGGGCCTTTTGATACTGAGGAGGGAGGAGGTAAATGGGCAGGTGTTGCACCTTCACTGGTTGCAGGGGAAGGTGCCATGGGGCTGTGGGTGTGTTGGGAGTGAAGGAAGAGTGAACCAGGGTGTCCCAAAGGGAATGGTGCCTGCGGAAGGTGGACAAGGAAGGGGAGGGGAATATGCGTCCAGTGGTGGCATCTCGCTGGAGGTGGTGGAAATGGTGTCCGATGATCTGCTGGATGTGAATTCTAGTGGGATGGTTGGTAAGGACAAGGGGAATCCTATCACTTTTATGGGAGGGAAGAGAAGGGATAAGGGTGGAAGTGCGGGAGATGGGTTGGACCAGGTTGAGGGCCCTGTCGACAATGATGCTTTTCCGTAACCCATCTCCTGCACTTCCGCCCTCACCCCAGGAGACAAGCTGCTGAGGTGTCAGACGCTGACGGGTACATGTCTTATGAAGGTGCTTCCTAGTCCTGGGTTATGTACATAACTCCAAACCTCTGGCTCACCTGAGACTACACCTCCAGATGGCCGCACACACCTTCAGATCTTAGGATTAAGCAAAATTAAGCAAGTGTAGACCATTCAGCCCATTGATCATGCTTCACCATTCAAAATGATTGTGACTGAATTTCACTTTCTGTCTGCCCTCTTTTCCCTCAACTTGTTCAAAAATCTCTTGACATCATCTTTGAATGTACAGTATTCAGTGATCCTGCCTCCACCACTCTCTGGGAACGGAATTCCACTGATTAATGACTCTCTGAGAGAAGAGACTCCTCCTTATCTCCATCCCGTTATTTTTAAACAGTGTCCCCTGGTTCTAGATTATCCCCGATGTGGGGAAACATCCTCCCAGCAAAAACAATGACCTCACAGGTAAACTGTAATTCTATTAGTTGGTAACAGCTACCAATTTGGCAATATATTACAGGTTACTTTCAGATTGAAGGAAGTAGTGTGGAATAATTAGACAAATACAAAATTTTTAAACCTCAAATTAAGAACTAAGTAATTAAAGTTGACATGCCGGGCCAGCTGATGTGTTGTAACTGCATGATTGGGGACCAGGCAGACTGCACTGTGGTTCATAGTGACTACATCTGTAGCAGGGACAACAAGGTGCAGAGCTGGATGAACACAGCAGGCTAAGCAGCATCATAGGAGCAGGAAGGCTGACGTTTCGGGCCTAGACCCTTCATCAGAAAATTTTTCTGCTTGGCCTGCTGTGTTCATCCAGCTCTGCACCTTGTTGTCTCGGATTCTCCACCATCTGCAGTTCCTACTACATCTGTAGCAGGTGTTGGTTGCTTGAGGAACTCCGACTCAGAGTGGATGAGTTGGACTCTGACTTTCAAATACTGTGACACATTAGGGATGGGGAGAGTTACCTGGATGCTGTGTTTTAGGAGGCAGTCAAACACCTTAGCTAGATTAACTACCTTAAATTTGATCAGAGGTCAGAGACAGGAGGGTGTGTCTACCAGAAAGGCTGATTGAGGCAGTGCTGAAGGTGCCTCAGACCTTGAACTTGTCTAACAGGTTTGAGATGCTTGTGTGACTGAGAGCTGGGACTGCAGGGAGGATGAGCAAACTGACCATAGCACCATGATACAGAGAGGAATTCAAGGCGGGGGGAGAATAGTGAAACATAGTTGTAATCGGGGATAGTATAGTCAGGGGAATAGACACCATTCTCTGCAGCCAGGATCGAGAGTCCCAAACGCTTTGTTCCCTGCCTGGTGTCCAGGTTCAGGATATCTCATCTGGGCTGCAGAGGAATGCGTATTGTTTCAACTACTGAAGATTGAGCAGCGATCCCATTAAGGTGTTTTAAGTAAAAACTGAAATTGTTGGAGAAACTCAAGGGGCCCTCTTGTGGCATAATGGTTGTGTCCTTACCCCTGGACCAGGAGGCCCCAGTTCAATTCCCACCTACTCCAGAGGTGTGTAATAACATCTTTGAACAGGTTGATTGGGGAAAAAATAATTTGGAGAAACTCAGCAGGTCTGGCAATATCTGTGGACAGAGAGAAACAGAGCTAATGGAAGAGTTAGCTGATAATCAGCCAAGAGAGGGAGAGAGATAACTGCTCACTGGGGTGTTAACAAAAAGTGCAACAGGTTGAAACTGGGTTGTGTATGCTGGGAGTAACCCATACAGCACAGGGTCTCAGGGTGTGGGAGAAGGATAACAAACATAGAGGGCAGAGTTCACACTCTGAAATTTTTCAACTCAATGTTAAGACCTGAAAGTTATTAGGTGTAATTTTCCTACACTTCGCTCAATCTAGTCTACTGTATTCACTGCTCACTATGTTTTCTCCTCTTCACGGGGGAGACAAAACACACACTGGGCGACTGCTTTGCAGAATACCTACAAAAATGACCCTGAGCTTTCAGTTGCCTGCCACACGTCACTGTGTTCCTACACCAACATTTCTGTCTCAGGCTTGCTAAAGTGCTGCAGCGAGGCTCAGTGTAAGCTGAAAGAGCAACACCTCACTCTCCACCTGAGTGTTTTGCAGCCTTCAAGTCTCAACATTGAGTTGAACAATTTCAGAGCATGAACTCCCTCCTCTATATTCTTTACCCTCCTCCCACACCAAAGGTCCACTCCTGTATGGACAGTCAATCCAGTTTCAACTATTTACACTTCTCATTAGCACCCCAACTTTAGCTCTCTTCCTCAGCTTATCATTAGTAATCTCTTTGTCTGCCTCATCCTTTTGTTTCAGTGTCTTTCCAGCCACTGTCTCCATGACATCTATTCACTTTCCCCCACCAACTCCATCACCAGCAGAAATATTACCCTTCTCCAGCAGCTTCCCGTTCTGAAGAGGGGTCGCTGGACTCAAAATGTTAACTCTGTTTCTTTTTTCCACAGATGCTGCCAGACCTACTGAGTTTCTCCAACAATTTCTGTTTCTGTTTCAGATTTCCAGCATCCACAGCTCTTTGTTTTTATATTAAGATGTTTTAAATAATCAGGATAGACAGATGATTTCCTTGGTTTGGGTAGTCCAAAACCAAGAGGTATATTGGATAGAAATTCATCTCACACAGAATGGAGTGGAAATCTGGAATTTTCTCCTCTACAGGGCTGGTGATATGGCCCCCATAATGTGTTTAAGACCGGGGTAGGTTCTTATTATTAAGGCACACAGAGCAATGGCAGGACAGTGATGTTGAGATCCAGGCTCTCATTGGTGGAACAAGCTGTGGGAATGAGTGGCCTTTACTTGATACTATTGGCACAGTGGCACAAAATGGCTTTTGTCAAGGGAATGAGTTTGGTATTCCCGAATGAATGGAAGAAGATGTAGGATCTGGCAGGAAAGTGGGATTGACATCGACATTTCTGGTTAAATAGTCAGGACAGGCACTATAAAGGTGGGCCCAAACGGTCATGAATTCAGTGAATCTTTGTGGATCAGCTTGGGGGACCTAGGGGAGGGCAGGTGGAGGTCATTGAGGTGGGTCAGGTCATGTGAAACCGCTTTGTTTCTTTCTCTGTCTCTTTCAGGTGGTCCAAATGGTTTGTGAAATGAAACTGAAGAACTCCCTTGGTGGCCATGTGGTTGGTGGTATCCTAGAGAGACTGAGTGCCATCACCATCAACCCCCAGCATATTCTGGAGGAGATTCTACCAAGGGTCCCCAGCACTGTGACTGACAATGATGTGCCCATGCTCTTCCGGGAGCCCTACATCCATAGTGGTTATCGGCAGGTGAAGCAGGAATGGAAATACTACCTTCTCAGCCTCTTCCAGCAACACAACGAGGCCGTCAACGTCTGGACACACCTGCTGGCTGCTCTGGTGCTTCTGGTCCGTTTCCGAGCATTCCTGGAGACGACCTCTCCATTCCCCACTGTCTACAGCCTCCCACTTTGCTTCTTTGTGGCTGCCTGTGTAACCTACCTGTCGTGCAGTGTGCTAGCCCATCTCTTCCAATCCAAGTCGGAGCTGGCCCATTACTCTTTCTACTTCCTGGACTATGTGGGTGTGGGTGCTTACCAATATGGCAGTGCCCTGGCACATTACTATTACTGCATGGAGCCTGAGTGGCACCAGGTGATTCGCCCCTTCTTCTTGCCCATTGCTGCCATTCTGGGCTGGCTCTCCTGTTTGGGCTGTTGTTTCTCCAAAGTCCACTTCCAGCGGCCTTACCCCATCACCCGGAAGGTGTGCCAGGTGGTGCCCGCCTTTCTGGCCTACGTCCTGGACATCAGCCCCATTGTCCACCGGATTGCCACCTGCTGGGCCCAGGGTTGCACTGACCATGCTGTCTGGTACCACACCTGGCAGATTGTTCTGTTTGTCATCGCTTCCGGCTTCTTCTCTTACCCGATGCCAGAGAAGTATTTCCCGGGAAAGTTCGACATTGTGGGGCACGGCCACCAGGTCTTCCATGTCTTCCTGTCTCTCTGCACATTAGCTCAACTAGAAGCTGTGCTGATGGACTACAGCAATCGGCGTGAGATGTTCTCCACCTGGGGGGATGAGCACATGGTCTACATCTCGTGCATAAACTTCATCGTGCTGATTGTCTGCAGTGGTGGTTCAGCGATCTACCTGAGGAGGATAGTCAAAGACAAGCTGCACAAGAAAGGAGACTGAGGGATGCGATATAGGCCCCTATCTTCTCTCCTGGGTTTCCTGGAGATTCTGTCTGTACTCCAAAAAGAAGCTCATGATTTTGTTTTGAATATAAGCAGATGTCAAGGCCCAAGGCCAACCCCTGGGTCTTGTTTGCATTCATTTGTTGGTAGAGTCTTGTCCGGGAGGGAACTGCTGTCCTTATGAATGAGGGGATACGTGTCTCTGTGTGGGGTGTGTGGGGTGAGGGGTGATGTCTGTCTAACTTGCAGGAGTGAGGGTCTCCTGTCTCATGCTGAAGGGCTACAAGAGGCCGGTGATGTTGCTGCTGTCGAAGCAGTTGGTGGTCTCTCGGTTTGTTCAGCATCAGATGCCCCATACCTGGGAAAAGCTCCTGTGCATTAACTGAACACCACAACTGGATTGAGCGGGCACTGGGAAAGACTGGCAGCAAGTGGGCACAACAGCAAAGCTAGAATTGAACAGGGCGACTCTCACCCAGACATAGGAATAGAAAGTTCAGATATCCGAAAGGATGTGAATAACTAACTTTAAATATAACCCATGCTGTCTCTGTCCTGGGAGTGTTTGATGGGGAAAGTGTACAGTGTGCTTTACTCTTTACCTAATCCTGTGCTCTGTGCTTGAGTGTTTGATTGAAGTGCAGTGAGAGCTTTACTCTCAGTCTAGTCCCATGCTGTCCGTGTCCTCGCAGAATCTGATGCGGACAATGTAGAGAGAGCTTTACTTTATATCTAAACCTTGTGCTGTCCACGGATTGGGAGTGTTTGATGGGGGGACAGTGAGGAGGGAACTTTAGTCTCAATCTAACCACGTGCTGTCCTTGTCCTCGGAGTGTCTGGTGGGGATAGTGTAGAGGTAGCTTTACTCTGTATCTAAATCCTGTGTTGTCCCTGCACTGGGAGTGTTTGATGGGGACTGTGCAGACGAAGCTTTGCTTTCAGTTTAAAATAGGAAACTTTACCTTGTTTCTAACCCAAGCTGTGCTTGTTCTGGGAGCATTTGATGTGGACAGTGAAAAGGGAGCTTTACTCTGTATCAAACACCTTGCTGTCCCTGTTCTGGGAGTGTTTTGGGGGACAGTGTATGGTTGCTTTGGTCTGTATCTAACTTCGTATTGTCCCTGTCCTGGGAGTGTTTGATGGAGACAGGGTCATGGAAGATTTCCTTTCAGTTCAAAAGAGCAGAGGGAAAATCACTCTAACCCTGTTCTGACCCTGTCCTGGGAGGGCTGCTTGGTTGAAATCTGAATTGACGCGTTATAAGAATTGTATGACTGTCTGTATATTTCTGTGTATAAATTTAAAACTACTCATTAAGTGAAATGAATAGCAGGGGACATGAATGTCAGAGTCCCTATTTCTCCTTTTAAGTCTTAAGTATATCTTTAGTAAGTCTTTAATTTATAATCAGAGACTGTATTAACTACACCAGTTAGTGCAGGTATATATTGGAATGTTGAACCAGCACAAGAAGGGAAAGTTCGTGGAGCATGTTACACTGTTGAATGGAATGTGATCCTGAAATCATTTCCATTTAGTGCTGCTGCACTTGCTGAGTTTCATTGGAGTGATTTCTCATCAGTGGTGATGAGAGGTATGGTGCTTCACTGAGTGCTGACAGAATCTATAATGAAGCCTGGGAGTTATGAAGAGCTGACCAGGCTAGAATAGATCACAGAATGGGTTAAATTTGGTGATTGGTGCCCGTTATTTTTGAAAAGCAGGCAGTGTTTGTTCAGAGATAGTTGGAACTGCAGATGCTGGAGAATCCGAGACAACAAAGTGCAGAGCTGGATGAACACAGCAGGCCAAGCAGCTCTGAATAGCTCATCCTGACCTTCCACTGGATTACACCAGTCCATTACTGTAACTGCATCAGGAAACTGGAGGCACCTTGAGAGTATTCAACAAATGTTTGTACCAGTTTTCCCCATTTCCCTGAGGTCTCCTGCTGATCTCTCAGTCGAGTGACTGGAGAATAGCTGTGTAATTCGACAATGAATTTGGCTTTATGCCGCAGTTACACAGTCAGGATCCAGAACCAGAAACCCAACAGCAACCAAACAAGGTGTGTCCAGATACAGTCAGGCATAGGTGAGATCAGAAGGAAGCTTAGAATAACATTATACAATTATTTTAGGAAAAACCCAGGGAATTAGCCCATAGACTGCCAGGTTTTTGAATTAACATTACAGATTGTAATCACAGGTGTGATCCAGACATTTGGACTATTAGACAGCGTCCCTTTGTCCATCAGCATCATCGCAATTGTCCCTGAGCAATTAGTCAATTATTCTTTAATTCATGCATCCCTAGGCACCACATAAATGAATAGCATTGAAGGCACTGTACAAATTAATATTGTTGCACCTGCTGCAAATAGCATGGGTAAGTGGGAGGATTGGGGGTGCTGGAGCCAGTGATAGGGTGAGAGTGTAGATGGTGTATAGTAGAGTCAGTGATGAGGGGAGAGCATACACACGATTCTGGGAGGGGGTAAGTGGGGAGAGGGTATAGAGTCAGTGATAGGGGAGAGTAGCCTGGGCTGTGGAAGGGGGTTAAATGGGTGGGTAGGGTCTGTGATGGGGGCGACAGTGTGGACTGGGCTGTGGGAGAGGATTTACTAGATGTCACTATGTTGAAAAAAAACTCAATGCAGCATTCATTAAAGTTTCACATGAGTGATTAGCATGTAAATTTAAAGCACATGTGATTGGGGTACTGTACTGAGGACTGGAGGAAAGACATGGAAGAAAGTATGAATAAATAGGTCTATTTCTGAGTGGCAGGTAGTGACTAGTGGGGTGTGGTAAGGATCATTTCTATTCACACTGTAGATGATTTAGATGAGGAAACTAGATGACTCAAAGCTGGGCGGGAGGGTGAGATGTGAGGAGGATGCAGAGGTGTTGCAGTGTTACTCAGACAGGCTGGGTGAGTGGGCAAATGCATAAAGTGGTAAATGCATAAAGTGGTAAACGCATGGCTCAAAGGATTCATATGGGAGAAATGGGATTGAATTCATGGGACATTGGCACAAGTACTGGGGAAGGGGAGGAGCTCTTCTCATGGAGCAGGATCCACCTGAATCATGCTGGGACCAGAGTCCTCAGAAGTTCATGGTACAATAGGGCGGAGTTAGCATGGCTTTGTCAAGGGGAGGTCATGCCTGACAAATCTGTTCAAATGCTTTGGGGAGGTAATTAGCAAGTTAGACAGAGGAGAGCCAGTAGACATGATCTATTTTGACGAGGTGCCACTCAAGAAGCTGCTAAATAAGACAAGAGCCCATAGTGTTAGGAGCAAAATACTGACCTGGATAGAAGATTACAGGCAGAATGCAGAAAGTGGGGATTGAGGGATCTTTCTCAGGATGGCAGCCGGTGATGAGTGGAGTTCCACATAGGTCAGTGTTGGGGCCATTACTATTCACATTATACATTAACGATCTGGACAAAGGAACTGAGGGCATTGTTACAAAATTTGCAGATGACACAAAGATAGGTGGGGGGACAAGTAGGCTTGAGGAAATGGAGAGGCTAAAGAAGCACTTGGACAGACTAGAAGAGTGGGCAAAGAAGTGGCAGACAGAATTCAATATGGGAAGGTGTGAGGTAGGAAAAATAGGGGCACAGACTGTTTTCTAAATGGACAAAGGTTTTGGAAATCTGAAGCACAGAGGAATTTTGGAGACCTAGTTCAATATTCTCTTAAGGTTAACATTCAGGTTCAGTTAGCAGGAAGACAAATGCAATGTGAACATCTGTTTCAAGAGGACTGGAATACAAGAACAGAAATGTATTGCTGAAGCTGAGGCTCTGGTCACACTGCATTTGGAATATTGTGAGCAGTTTTGGGTCTGTATCTAAGGAAGGATGTGTTGGCCTTGGAAGGGGTCCAGACAAGGTTTAGAAGAATGATCCTGAGAATGAAATGCTTGTCACATGAGGACCGGTTGAGGACTCTGGGTCTGTACTCGATGGAGTCTAGAAAGATGAGGGGGGATCTGATCGAAACTTACAGAATACTGACAGGTCTGGATAGAGTGGACATGGAGAAGATGTTTCTACAAATAGGAGGACTTAAGAGCACACTCTGAGTGAAGGGATAACCCTTTAGAACTGAGATGGGGAGGAATTTCTTCAGCCAGAGGATGGTGAATATGTGGAACAGATTGCCATGGAATGCTATGAACGCCAAATCATTGCATGTATTTAAGATGGAGATAATTAGCTTTTTGATTAGTAAGGGGATCAAGGGGTTACTGAGAGAAGGCAAGAGAATGGGGTTGAGAAACATATCAGTTAGCAGCAAAAACAGAAAGGCAGTTTCCGAATATTGATAGATTGAGGTGCAATGAGACTTGAGTGTCCTCATACACCCGATGCTGAAGGCAAGCATTCAGGCGCAGCAGGCAGTGAAGAAGGCAAATGATATGTTGTTCATTGTAGTGAGAGGATTTGAGTCCAAGGGCAGGGATATCTTGCTGCAGTTACACAGGGCCTTGGTGAGACCACACCTGGAATATTATGCACAATGTTGGTCTGATTTGAGGAAGAATGTTTTTGCAGTGTGTAGAGGCAGTACAATGAAGTTTTATCAGACTGATTCCTGGGACAGAGGACTGACCCGTGACGATAAACAAGTTCAGTTAGGACAATATTCTCTGGATTTTAGAAGAATGAAATTGTATGGAAACCTGTACAAATCTAACAGGACTAGACATGGTAAATGCAGGAAGGATGTTCCCAATGACTGGGGAGTCCGGACCCAAAGGGGTTGCAGTCTAGGGACACAGGGTAAGCCATTTAGGACTGAGATGAGGAGAAATGTCTTCATCCAGAGAATGGTGAGTTTGTGGAATTCACTACCACAGAAAGCGGTTGAGGTCAAAACATTGAATATTTTCAAGAAGAAGTTAGATATAGTTCTTAGGTCTAAAGGCATCAAAGGGTATGGGGAGAAAGGGGGATCAGGAGACTGGGTTGGATGATCAGTCATGATTATACTGAATGGCACAGCAGACTTGAAGGGCTGAATGGCCTACTCCTGCTTCTATTTTCTATGTTTCTACAAAAACCCATTTTCTACAGTTACATTCCTCCAACTACATGACGCCTCATAACACCAACAGTTTATTCAGTTGTGCAATCCTTTACAACAAGAAGCATTGAATATCCCACTTCAAAGAGTTTATAACCATTTGGAGTTGTTAATCAAGCTGCTAAACTAGGAGGCAGCATGCTGTGATAATGGGAGGCTGTGAAATCAGTCAGGTGTCTCTAAGGCAGCTGTCAGCTCTTTGACAAAAGGGAGCTCAAATGGCAAATAATTATTTACTTTTAAAACTCCAGTTTTCTTTCAAGTAGCACAGCTATTTTAAGGGAGTCCTGAACCATTGTAAAGGGGTATGTTATCTCCCAGAAAGGATACCTGGGCTATCCACACAAACCTGGAATGATCAGACTTGCTCCTCCTGGGTCTAATCTGGGCATGGCATGTTTTACATGCTGGGTCACACAGGATGGCGGGCTGCTGCTGATTTATCCCACTGCCAGCTCTTTCAATTCTCCTTTGATACAAAGCTGATACCTACCATGACTGGATTACTGCTGTGTCACTGGTTTACCCGGCCAGCGACCTCTGTAAAATGCATGTGCATGAAATGTGATCTGGTCCCTATCCACATCATGCATATCCTCTCTCTTCTACCACACCACTGTAAAAATATTTGGCAGTGTGACTCCTGGGTTACTTTGTCACTTCTGCCATTTTTGCAGGCTATTGCTATGCAAACACAGGCCTCAAAGTCCATCTTGTGACATTTTAAAGAATTTTATTCATTCTGGTGAGACCACCACTCATCATTCTAAATCTCAGAGGCTATCGTCCAACTCTACCGTGAAGCAGGCTTGATGGGCTGATTGGGCTAATTCTGCTCCTTTGTCTTATGTCTACTCAAACTCTTATCATAAAAAAGTCCCTATGCCTTTCAGAAATCATTCTAGTGAACCTGCCTTGATGAATTGCTCAGGTAAACAGGTAAGATCAAAACTACACCCAGCTCTTCAGGTGTGACCTCACCAACCTCCCATATCATTGTAAGAAAATGTTCTGATTGAGTTTCAGCCAGGTTCTATTTGTTTGTTGTCCCTAGGTGTTAACTTGCTGATTCTTGTATAGGAACATGCAAATCTCTCCGAATACCAACCAGTTAGTGGGCTCTGAACTTTACAAATGTTCTGCTTTTCCAGTTTTTCTATCAAAATTGATAAATTCGCGGTGTCCAACATTAAATGTCACCTGTTATCATCATGTCCGACCATTTAATCTAACGCTCAACAGCCTTGATATATCCTCCTTGGAGTTTACTTTTCTAGCTGGCTTTGTATTATCCCATTTCCATTGTATATATTATGCCCTGTTCCCTCATCTAACTCATTGTTATGATGTGCTGGTGTTGGACTGGGGTGGACAAAATCAGAAATCACACAATACCAGTTTATAGTCCAACAAACTTACTTGAAATAGGTTTGTTTTCAAATAAGCCCGTTGGACTATAACCTGGTGTCATGTGATTTCTGACCTAACTCACTGTTACATATTATAAACTGAGTTCCAATAACTCATCTTGGAATTAATTCATTCCACTAGAGAGACCCTGCCATTCTGCAAAACATACTAACAAGGAACAAGTCAGGCCACTCGACCCTTAGAGTGTGCTCTGACATTCGTAAATGCTTAATTTTTTTTTACTTTAACCTCAAGTCCACATCTCTGCATATCCCGGTAATTTTTCATGCCCTTGCTAATCAATGCCCAATCTCAGTTTTTAAACAAGTCTCAAACCATGCTAATACATTCCCCTCCAAAAATATATATTTCCCCAGCCTCCTGACCCCTAACCCTACTTAGCAGCTTATTATGTTGCACATTATTGAATAGCTTGTGAAATCTAAATACAAGACTTGTATTATTTCCCACTAGCCAACCCACTATTTTCTGCCCTCCCTCAGAAAACTCTAATAGTTAGTGTTATAAGGTGTCATGTAGTTGAAAGAATGTAACTTAGAAAATGGGTTTCTGGAGAAACATAGAAAATAGCTACAGGAGTAGACCACTCAGCCCTTCGAGCCTGCTCTGTTTTTCAATATGATCATGGCTGATCATCCAATCTGTCCCCTGTTCCTGCTTTCTCTCCATACCCTGTGATTTCTTTCACCCTCAGAATTATATCAAACTTTTTCTTGAAAACACTCAATGTTTTGGCCCCAACTGCTCCCTGTGGTAGCAAATTTCACAGACCCAACACTCTTTGGCAGGCACGAGTTCCCTTTCATAAAACTGTCAGCTTAGTCTAACCACTACAACTTTACAAGTGCTCTGTTATCACATCCTTAATAACAGATTCTAGCATTAACCTGTTACTGACATTAGGATCAGTGATTCACCTGTCCCCGTTATTGCTCTCTCAAAT